ATTGTTTAGAACATCTGGCAAACCTCAATACCTTATTTGTTATTGATCAGAAAGTAACTTTGCTGATCAACCTAAAACATCTTCTCAATAAGTGAAAAGTGAAAATTAGGGATACAATTATATATTTGATTTATATTTGTCTAACCATAGCAATTACTTATTTTATTATGGATTAGCAGGTTGTATAATGGTTAGGGACTTGGGATAATTGACCAATTGATTTGTTTTTTTAACACCATTTCTGGGTTATTTAAAGCCAAAACATTTTGAGTGAATATTATATCAATTTCTTGGAAATAATGATTTTCAGATACAAGTGTTATTTTAACCCATAAATGGAGGGAGAAGAAGTAGGTTCATATCCTTCTCAAGGGTATTTGCACGTAAGTGAATGTAATGAACCTGACTTGAATTCAAACTGTGCTTTCTGCCTTTGCACTGAGTACTTATCTATTACAGCATTTTCACATCCAAATTTACAGAAACAGATATTCCTAAGATATCACCCACCTGATGTTGCTTAACTTCTGACTCGGGATGACAAATCAGCAAGATGAGTTCAAATTCCAGTAGAGTTCATTACATTCACTTTTATGCAAATAACTTGAGAAATGTCTGAATTCTAGCTCTCCTCTCCCCAGCTGTAGATTAAATAGTAGGGCTGACTGGACTCTTCAGCCTTGATTGGCAAGCAGTCTCAGAAACTGAATTCAAAAGCAGCTGGAGTGTGGGGTTAGCAATTCCATCATATAGAAAAACCACAGCAGCAAAGCCTAAGATGTTGAAAGCTGTTGCCCTATACACCTCAGTGAAGTTTAAAGGACTCGAGGGAGTATTTTCATTAGATAAAAATAAATATGTAAACATTCTCAAGAACTTATACAATAGCGATAACATAAGCCATGAGAAAATGAGCATATAGCACGACTTTAGCCTTGTGTCAGACTTGACTACAATGATTTAAACTCAATATAACCAGAATACGTTTTTATTTGTTTTTGACTCAAATATTTATTTTGATGACCAACTTAGAAAGCACTCCTTTCATCAAAATAGAACTCTTATCTTAAAGTTATCTACATGTCTCAATGTTCTTTTTGAAATTCCTTTGAAAACAACAGCCAAGGTTTTGGACTTCAATTAATCAAGATAGATGAAGTATTTAATTCTGATTAGATTCTATCAAAAGGTTCATACACGTCATCTGTAGCATAAATAACCAGTCATTATGGCAAAAGCGCATCAGCACAAACGCAAGAGAGTCCTTGGATCACATGCAGACACCAGTTACATTTGGGTTTTTTCTCTTAGTAGCGGGACAGTTTGGCATGTCTGGATACAGGCCTCTTTACAACTATCAAGATCTAGGTCTTTTGCCTCATGCCAATAAAAGCTGGGGGGAAAACAAGCAGTTGGCAAGACACTGTGCTGCATGAAGTCAGTCCTGTGGGCATCTTGTTCCTCAAATTGCTGTGGTTTGCAAGGCAGTGTTATTTTTGTTCCCTCACGTCTCTTTCCCTTCTCTGCCTATTACCTCCATAGTTGCTGGGAGAGCAATTGGTTAGGTGCCCACCCCCATCTCAACAGACATTTTGCTTACATTACAACAGTTTATATATGTATATAAGTGAATATACATAATATCCAATGCCAATAGCACAACTCAGAGTTTCATGCAAATGTGCAATCTTCAAGTGCTAAAAATTTACTTAATATATACTTAATAGCTCCGTTATATAACACTGAGCACTGTTTTTATAACATCCGAGAAAGAAATATATATGTACATGCAAGTATATGTACATATACGTATGTTTTTTTATCATACCCACAAATAGATAAATAATAGCCAGAAAACTGGATTCAAACATGAAACACTGTTGACACTTGGTGTGAATATCAGTGTCCCCACTTCTTATATTTATACATGCTCTATCCACAATATTAAGTATTTTTACCCTATAAATATAAGATAACTTAAAACTATATTTTATCATATAGACTCCTACTGATTTCAACATTTAGAACTGAACTTCTAGATTATCCACAAACATGATTTGATTATAGTAGTGAAGGCTTGTGTAGAAGTGGTCATTCTTTTCAGAGAAATGGTGCAGAGTGTGTGCCATGAAGTCTCCAAAAAATCCTTCTCAGGTTTGAATTCAGCTTTCATTGTCCCAATCTGAGCGACAATGAAGGCAAAAGTGCTTTGTCAGCCCTGCTATTTAATCCATAGCTGGAGGGAATTGAATTCAAGCCCTTTACCAAAGATTAGCTCTGTCAATGAAACAGAATCAATAAGAATGTGAACTCTGCTCAGCAAACTCACTTTTCATGCCATTAACATTTAACTATCCACCTACATACACACAAGACAGAGTGGCATGCACAAATAATAGCACCCACTATTAGTGAATGAAAGTTTAAATTTATAAAAAAGTAAACAAAGTATAAAAATAGAACAAAAACTGGTTGTTTTTTTTTTAACAAAAAGTATAGCATCCAAAATTAGAGAACAAATAACAAACATTATCATTTATATTTATGAAAAATAAAAATCCAAAATACAACAACACTGTAATTCCTTATTCATCTGCAGCACTGTCTCCAAATTTATGATGACAAGCTATTGCAAAGTTGATGAATCATACAGATGTCAGGTTGTCACACTAAAATCTCAAGAGATGACAATCTAAGAGTGTAATTTCTGAAATAGTCAAGTTTTATGAGGATACTGGCTCCTTTAAATCACCTAAAAACAACAGGACAGCCATATATAGCAACACTCTGGCAGAATTGGACAATTTAAAGATTCTCTGTGGCACAACAGCAGACATTGCATGACAAGCCAGCAAAGAATTTGACATGAAAGTGTCATATCTACAATGCATGTTCTTTTGCCATCAAACACCTCATCAGTAAAAAGAACTAAATAGTTGGGACTAGTGTTTGTAAACGAGGATACTTTCTCGACCAATGAAAATCGAGGAAAGGTGTTCTTCAACAATAGAAGTTTGATTTAGTTGGTTATGATGACAAGCATTATGTCAAATGGCAGTAAAGTGATTTTAAAAATGAATTAACACTTTGTTTTATGCTTTTAAACATCAAATAATATGGGGTGACCAATTTTGTTCTTTTATTCTATTTTCAAATGTAGTAATATCTGAAGGCAAAGGAATTGGACATTCAAGCATAAAATTTCCAATTTAACAAGAGCAAGATCGGAAAGTAAAAATTATCTTTGAATAGAGAAAAAAAAAAGAAAAAAAAAAAAGCTTGTATTTAAAAAATAAATAAAAATCTTGCCCATGATAAGAATAGCCAAGGGAAAAAAATGAATGTATTCTGAGAGAGGAAATAATTAACATTTCTAAATTTTCTTCTTTCTAATGCACCTAAGTAAACAAGGAATGAAAAATAAAAAGGGTGGGGAATTAATAATATGAAATATATGAACATGAAAAGTTTTATTTGAAATCTCAGCATATACAGAAATAGATACAAAACTCAATATAATTTTCCTTAAACAGTAGCCAATGTCAAACAAAATGAATTGTGTCAAAGCATCACAGACAAGATAATTGATTTATTTATCTAATAAATGAAAAAAAAAAAAAAGAAAACAAAAATTGAATTTGATTTTTATGATGTACAATGTCAAAAGATAAATTCTATATGCATGCACCAGAAATAAAAGTTACTGAAAAATTCTCAAGGAATTATTAAAAAAAATATTCTTATGTTTGTCCATTTAGACAAATTTTGGCAAGTGAATATAGCTGAGTACTTTTCAGCACCACCTTGTGCATTTTATATACACTAGAAATCTCTTACAACATGGTGACGAGTGTTGAAATCCTCATAGTATTTAGTATTGTTGAAGCTATCAATAACATTTTTTAGAGATTTTAACTGTTTTTCATTCAAAAAATTAATTATAATTTATTGTACTAAGCTACGCACCCTAGTAAAACAACCTCTCCTCAAAATTTGGTTTCGATTGGTGAATGTATGGCTGTTTTAGAGGTGTGATGGACAGACAGAATAAACAGAAGTCACAGTGTGTGTATATATATATATATATATATATATATATATATATATATATATATATATATATATAGATATAGATAGATATATAGATAGATATTATATTCAGAAAGCAAAAATTTATCTAAACAAGTTTTGTTAAATTCCATTTACTTAAATGTTTCAATTTTCAAATAAGTTCTTTTAAAATCCAAATCAAAATTGTGAATAGTTCAAAGTTCATGTATTTTTACCATCTCAGTCATTATCAAAAACTGAATGCTATCAGTATGATAGACAATATTTTTTGTTGGAGACATGTTGCCCATCCCACCCTTTATATTCTACAATTCAAATTCAATTAAATCAGTATCATAAATAACATATCTAAAATGGCTTCACATAGCTGGTCTTCACTAGAAAAGAATGAATCAAAAATTGATACGTTTTATTAATATTGTATACACACTTTAAAATACAGTTTCCTGTGGTGAAAGAGATTTATTTTATACAGATTGTTTCTTTCATATAATAATATATATTACGTAATATTCTTCTACATCAACAGAAGAGAGAAGAGTTTGGCACATATAAATGGAAGAATTACCTATCTCTAGTCAATTGTTTTCAATTGACACTTCTGACGATAAAAAAACACTGCAATATATTTATATTAAAAATACTCTTAAATTGCAATTAGCTCTATAGATAATCAAGCAATTTCTTGATTTGAAGGTTATTTTTAAAGCTAGAAAATGTTTTTAGATTGTAAAGGATTTGGGGGGAGATAATGATTTATTGATGCAAGTCCTACTAATTATATCACAGTTGGAAGAATAAAAGGCAGATTCATACCTTTCCCAAGAGTATTTGTGCGTAAGTGAATAACAAACTCAACTAGAATTGGAATTCAGCTCTCCAATTTCCAATTCAGAGCCATTATCCATTACATCACCCACACATCCAAGCTTACAGCACCTGGTATTCCCAAGCAGTCACCCATCTAGGTACTAATCAAGTTTGATGTTGCTTAACTTTAGTGATCATATGAGAACTGGTGTTTCAACGTGATATGGCTGTAAGCTGCTTTGTAAGTAAATATACTCTTAAAGAAAGAGTATGTTTAAATCTAGGTATGTATTAAAAATTATTATCATTTATTACATTTTTGTTTCATTTATTGCAAGGCAAATGATATATTGTTATTTTTAGTTAATATTTGTTTAAAATTCAGGAAGTATTCAATATAAACAAGAAAATGCAAAGTTTTGGAGTATTTGTAAATCCAATGCAATTGCAAAATTCCTTAAATGTTGTCATTCTTTGGTGACCAATTATTTACATACTTGTTTATCTGAGAAATTTAAAATTATAGATGTGCATGCAAATTAATCAGATATGGCAATAACTCTGCTTTAAATTGCTGTGTATTCAATCTAGTTTGTAAAAAAAAAAAAAAAAATTAAAACTGTGATGGGATGCTTGGAACTTTTGCATATAGCTGATAAATCTATGATAATACAGGAGGGTGCTTCAAGGACTCAGATATAGTTAGCAATTATCAGTGTTCAAACCAAAATCTCAAATGCTGATTTTTTAATGTAGAAAAACTATTTCCACTTGGAAGATTAGTGCTTCCAACCTGATATTTTGCTTATTTAACAATCTGCCCTTATGTTGGACAAATTTAGAAATGAGAAATTAAATATTTCTTTTAATATAGTAAATAAATAATTGTAATTATCTAAAAAAAAAAAAAAAAAAAAAAAAAAAAATGTTCAGAGAAATTAACATATATACTGTGTGCATATCTGTATTGAATTTTTTATTTGTGTATGCACAAATATACTCAACAGTATGCTGAAGAGGTTTTGGCCAGATCCATTTTAATGATTTAAATTAAACTTTAATTTTCTGTAATGACTGATTGCAAAATAGAAAAAAGGAAAGATAGCATCTTAAATGCATTTTGCTGTTATAAGAGAAAAAATTATAAAGACTGAAATGTAAAAGGAAACTCGTTTAATGAATAAAAAGAAAAAAGAGAGAAAAATTTATTCACAAATTTTAATAAATAAATTAGTGTGTGTAAGCAAGACTTGGTATGAACACTTGTTCAATAAAAAGGAAATTACAATCATTTAGAAAAAGACTTAAACAATCCTAAAAATTTAAATGATTGCAGTTTCCCTTGAAGGCATTTGTAATTAGACAGTCACATTAAAAATAATGAAGATCACGTTTTAATGAAAGGAAATTATATTGTACATTTAAAATGATAAAAATGACTTAAAAATGTCGATAGCAATAGTTATACAAGATCTACTCCTAGTACAACAAATATCACTAATACTAATTACAACCTATTTTTAAAAAGAAAAGATGTAATTCAATGTATTTAAGAAAATAATGCCATCAAAATTATTACTGATGTTTCACAAAAACAACTGCTTAGGGATTCTAAGTGCACATAAAACAATATTAAACACCTTTTATTTTATTAAAAAGGAAATTGACAATTAACAATTCAGAATTTTGTACTGTTGACTTGTAAACAAGGTATTATTTGTGACTTAAAGCAAAGAAAAGAATTTGGCTTCTATTTATAAAGAAAATTAGAATCGATCCGTTTTATCCTATCCACAGAAAAAAAAAAAACAGCATTAAATATTAATGTCTCCAGGCAGCAAAAGCCACATTATATAAAATTACATATACTTATTACATAATAATTAACTTTATTCTATCATGAGCAAACATTCATATGCAATAATATATATATATATATATATATATATATATATATATATGAGAGGATGCTGAAAAGTCCTTGACCCAACCCACTTCCCACAATTTTATGCACCAAGAACTTTCTATCACCTCTTCATGTGCTTTCTCTCTTTCTCTCATATTTTGATCCTAAAAGAAATTATAAGGAAATAATGCAAAGTAGACAGAAAATCCATTTAATATTATTAAAATATGATTGCAACAAATTAACTATTTCTCTCGTCATCAAAGTTCTTTCCTTTCTTTATGCAAAGTGGTCAGCACAGGAATACATAATTTATCATCAATTTTTATTGTCAGCTCTTCATTTTGTACACATGACAAAAGCAAACTATTAGGCTACAATGTGCAACTAAGTAACATTATATACACACAGACATTGTGATAAATAAAAATACAAACAAACTGATTATAATATAATTTGACATCCTATAGAAAAATACAAAACAGTAAAACATTACAAAGTATTTTATCATGAATAAAAATTTAAAGATAAAATTTTTTTATTATAAAAAGAATTTTTTTCATTAGAATATATAAATGACTTAAAAGAAGATTTTTTTTTAAATTCAAAGAGAAAAAAAAAAAAAGGAAAAAATTTTGATTTCTTTCATTTCTATCTACATAAATATGTATTTAAAATTAAAGAAAAACTAAAATCAGGAATATAACATCTTTCAGGTTATACCAATTTTCAATTCAAACGGTGATTTTTAGCCATTATATAGAAAGTGTAAGATGATTTCTCTTGCTTTTTTTATATAATTAAAATGAAAATAATAATCAAATGGAAAATCTTTTCTTTTTTTCTTTGTAGCAATAAAAACAAAGAAAAGAAAAAAATAAAATACTAAAAAAAAAAAAAAAAAAAAAAAAAAAAATTAATGTTTTACTTATATGCTCATTATATATTACTTTATAAAAAAATAAATTACTTGTATATTGGAAAGCATCACCCCATGAGATTGAGAAGACATTCCATAGGAATACCTTGAGGTAACACTTAAAACTGCTTTTATGCACAGAACTGCTACTACTATTTCTGCTCATATGACAACTGCAACTAGTACAACTGCAAGTACTCTGGATAGCCGAGCATCACCATATTTAAGCAAAATAGTATTTCATAATACATATAAATAGAAGAAAATTGCAAATTGAAAGATATAGATCTAAGCATCTTTTATTTTTGAACTGTATCAAGCAATAATGGTGTATTATGCAAATCTATCAAACATAAGCACATAGTTGTGTATCAATAAGCAAGCTCCTGATAGCAGTGTACTAAGAGGAAGACAAACTGACTCTCTTGCTATATATATATATATATATATATAGGAAATAGACTAAATCTGACAAGCCCCACACACAAAGACATTTTCATTCTTATCTCAAAACTAACAAAGATTGTCATTTCTAAATCCAGTGTTCTGCACACTTCACCTGATGGACACTATTCTTTTAATGCAAGTGACTGAACTGCAGCCATACCAAATCATTAACAACATGACAGCCATAGACTAAATCAAATTTATGATAAAGCTATAACCCACCACCACTCTGTAGTTTCTCAAAAGTGTTCACAGGTATCTTCATTGTGAAAGCACTTATAAGAGAATGGGGGGGAGGGGGGATCTAGCTACTCAACAGTAAAAAAAAGTCATAGCTCCAGGCATTTAAATTAAGGCCATCCTAATACATTTAACAAGTGATTTACTGAAAGAAGATTAAAACCAGTTTGAAGTGCCACATAATCATCTGTGGCAACATAGCTTTGTGTCACTTTTCTGATATTCTTATATAAATATATATACCTTAATAATGGTAAGTCAGTTATTAAAACTAACCAAAAGAGGCACTTAAACAGTGGCATACTCCCTACTTTCTCAACCTATCCCAACTGTAATGGAAACTCCTAAAATGAGCTGGTGATAATTTGACAGTGAAGATTTTGTATTTTCAATGCCACTCACATAAGGACAGTAGGTAACCATGAAAGGGGATAATGGTGATGCTATTTTTTTCAACTTGTCGGCATGACATCAGACAATACCCTCTCCAGCCCTCACTGAATATTATCAGTTCAATACAAAAAACTGATTAGATTTAGATTGCTGCTTTGTGCCTTTTATTATTGTAATTTATTTTTGTTTTTTTAAATCAACTTCAATTTTAACATAACGTACAAAACTTTGTTTGAATATGATGGAAAATTATTTCTTTTAGAATAAAATAATTATTTTCTAGATAATGATTTGAAATATCCCAAGTCATCAAATATCCCCATCTTGGTAAAATCAGATTCACCCTGCTTAGTACTCATTGACCTCTCTCTAGCTGCTACTACTATTTACCGAGTGGTAACTGATCAATAGCAGAACAACGTAAATTTATCTTGCATTTAACTTTGTGCATAATAGAAACAATTATTAATAAAGTTCAATTCAGTCATATATAAACAGTTTATTTTACACTATGATAAATTTCTACATTATCTTGTTAAAAGTAAGATTTTTATGGTGGCTATATTATTGCACAGGGTAGATTTAGGATGAGTATTTGATTTGGAAAATCAACTTTCCAGTTTATTCATTAATAGAGGTCAGTAATAATTTAATGATATAAGTAATCTCATATGAACTGACAGGATTAGTGTAAAGAAAAATGGTCTTTTTACTGTATTTTATAAATAAGTATAAAAGTTTATATTGAAAGTGGCAATGCATATGTTAAGTGCAGATTTGGGCCATTATACTTTTTAAAAAAACAATTATCTTTAATAAATTTCAATTGATCCATAATACTTTATTTGTAGCTGTCATAAAAAATGCTCAACAAGAAAGTTAAGTAGGATAGCAAACTCAAAAGCAAACAATGGATTTAATATAAGCAAAGAATTATTTGAAAGACTGCTATATTTTAGTCCATATATAGTATTTAAAATCAGAGATAATGAAAATGTGAGGAAAAAAGGGGCAAATAATATGTTTCTATCTATATCATTGCATTATGATGTGGCCTAAGAGAATAACACTTAATTTGGGGGTCACAGGTCCATTCTAATATTTCCAGACTTAAATGGCCTTGAACCAATTTTATAAAAATAAAGTCAAAATTTCAGATTAAATCTTCAAAGTTGAAATTAATCAAAACTACATCACAAAATATTGATTTCATTTCAATTTGAATATTATAGAAGTAATTGACTAGCACCAAGTATACATTTATTGAAATTATTCAAGACATTAAAATGACCTCCAGCATTTAGAAAAAGAAGAAAAAAGAAATAATT